CTAAATTACATTTAGGTGTAACATAATACGAGTAGAAATGGTGAAAACATACTTGTAAAATTCTTTCAATGGGCGATTTACGAAAAAAGCACAATTTCAGTGTTTTGAAAGTGTGCGGTTGCAGTTTACAGGATGTTGTTGAGAGCACATGTTGAAAACGTCCTGTTCAGTCTCTGGCGCCCCCTGCTGGGTGGCAAAACTAACAGCGCTGGCAGTGCCGTATCTGGGGTGGTCACAGTTGGGAGTACAGTACATGGTTAATGGCAGGGATGGGCACTTCACCCTGTTTTCACAACCACACCTCGGCACAATTTAGAGTGTTCCATTAACCTGCCATACATATTTCTGGAATGTAGGAGGAAACCGGAGTAAACCCACGGAGTCACGGGGAGAACATGCAAACTCCATACAATAAGGCAGAAGCCAGAATCAAACCCTGCACCTCTGCACTGTGGGGCGGACGTGCTAGCCAGTTCCATTAACCTGCCATGCATGTTTTTGGAATGTGGGAGGAAATCGGAGGACCCAGAGAAAACCCACTCATTATAATCCTTTTCAACATCAAACACTATACTGTAATTGTATTAATGAATCACAAAAACTGTCATTGGAATAAATGAATGCCTGTAAATCAGCCTCATATGAACATTTTCATTCTGGGAAAAAGAACATTCCTTATTTGTCATGGATGAGGTAAGAAAAATAAAATAAAAGACAGAGTCCCGCATTTCCTCAACAGTGCCTAAATGTTTATTTTCCAGTAAGCTACATTTATTTCCTCCAAATAAGACAAGTTGAACATCCTGTCACAAGAGTAACATAAATTATCTCCAAGCCAACCACGCGCTTGATTCCAGTCTCACAAAAGAAAAAAAAACAGCAAAAAACAAGGTCAAATGGTCCAAAAAAAAAAATAGACAAAGAAAAAAAGATGGTTAAAGGTGTCTTTAGGCGAGCCCTGACGCAGAATCCACGATTGTCCACAGCTGTTAGCGTAGCAAGTAGGTTAGCGCTAATGAGTGAAACCACAGTGAGTAGATAGAACTTGAATCTTTTGCATTCATTGGGTTTTACAAGAAAGACACCAATTCTGATGTTTTTCTCAGTTGTGCTCCATTAAGGAGAGAACGGCATGGTCAAAACAAGCCAACAAGGACAGAGGTGACCAATATGAACGGTCACCCAAGGGGAGGTGGGGCATCGCCCAAGTGAGATGATGGCGACCATCTTTCCGGAAGGGCGGCTCTGTTTGTTTGCACACACGTGCGCGTTCACAGTTCAGAGTCCAAAGGAAATCAGGCCAGTGATGATGGGGAAAACGCCCAAACCGAAGGCTATGTACACACTAGTTGCGCACTAACTACACGCTAGCCACAGACTAGCGCCCTCTTGCAGTCTGTTTTTTTTTTGTTTTATTAAGAAACATCCGTACTTTTCACTCACATGAAGAGGTTTAAACAAGACAAAAAAGTTTTGACGTTCTTACAAATGTTGAGACAGGATCAACATTTCAAGGGCCAAACCTAGCCGCAAGCTAACAAGCGGGTGGCTAACGAGAAGTATGCACCGGTTAGCCTGTGCTTCAAATGTGCTTTACGTGTTACAACCTCAGCAGTGTACACAAAATCAGACGCCCCAAAAAAACAAAACAAAACAAAAAAAAAAAACAACAGGATGATGATTAGAGTAGCCAAGACGATGTTGCAGAAATCAAATGGTGTTGCCGATGTGTGTAGTTTAGCTTAGCTCCAAGACCAGAGTTGGTACAATTGAGAAAAATGCTCATCAAAATAAACACAAAATGTTAGTCAGTGTTCTGATAAATGCACATTTAACACAATTTTTCTTTCTGCTGATCTAATCTAAGATGAACACATCAATGGGAGTTCGGTGGGAATCTCCCACACTCTTGAAAGTTTCCCCAAAAGAAAAAAAAATAGTTGAGGAAGTTTGTGGTCTTTTTGCGTTGAGTGTTTTCTTTGTTACTCTTTTTGTGGTGAATCACCGGCGTGTAAACGAGAAGGAAAAAAAAAAACGTCAATGGAATGAAAACAAACAAAAAAATTACAGTTTGTCAAAGTTCACACAAAACAAATCGAATTAGAAAAGAAAAAGTTCAGAAAAGCACAATATTAAGTTTTTTTTGTTGTTTTAATCCTACATCCAGCTCGTTAGCGACATTAATAGATTTTTTTTAGGTACCTCCTATTTTTTTTAATCTTTGTATTTACAACTGTACAAGCAAAGCACACACCTCAAAGTGCATAATATTTAATACAGTATCGACTCTGTTTGCATTTACACGGTTTCACTTTTGCCCGCCCAAAACAACCTGAATCGAAACTACTTTTTTTTTTTTTTGTACAATAGGGGCAAAGAGAAACAAAAGACGCCAATAGATTTATTTGCACTCTGCCTTAGGTCACCATATATTCTCTCTTCTTTAGTAGCGGGGGGAGGGACAAACACTACACTCTATGCTTGTCTGGTATAAAAGTTAAGGCAAAGTCACTTTTCAAGTTCAAATAAAATTCAAGTTTCTCAAACACCGGATGCGAATCTTTTGCGTGGAGACAACGCTCCTCTGCTGCTGTTCCTGGTTTCGCACTTGCTTCAAAAAAACCCGAACAGCACAGCTCCTGAAATGAGCATTTTCTCTTGGCAACCACAAAGAAGGGAAAAAAAAAAGCCATCCGTGTGCATCTCAGTCCTAAAGAAAGTAAAGGGGGGGAAAAAAAAAACGTTTCCCTTCTCTTGCTGGGAGTAACTCAATTGCTTCAGGCGGAAGGAAGACGCGTTTCTGGAGTTTGGACTCAGACTCGCTTGCTCATTATTTACAGTTGGAGCTAACATGCTGCTAAAGGGCGCTCCATGTCCTCTGGGGGGCACTTTTTCCTTCTACTGATACGCCATTAAAACAAACAAACAAACCAAAAAAAAAAACAAAAAAAAAAACGTATCCTTCAATGTCATATAGTGCCATCTAACTTCAACGCAAAAGCACAGCAGTCATCATACCGCCATAGGAGGGACCAGGGGGCAGGGGTGGGGATGGAGAGTTTGTCCCAAGCTCCTGAGGAAACCGAGCGACAGCGTGCTGTTTCGTCAAGTTGCGCACGCGACTTTTGTTCTCGCCTCCTGCACCTTTTGTCAAGCGCAAACGCAAAGAATTCACACCCATGTCTTCCCAAGCTCACAAATCCAACGAAATGAATGGCACCCGTGTGTTTTGTAAAACGCAAGCACAACTTTGTAAATTGTGTAACCCAAGACTTTCATAACTCAAGCACAAATTACCTACGCTTTCCATCAAGTGTGAAAACGAAGAACTAAGTCACACCCTTGTATTCAGAAACTCGTATGACTTAAGCGGGAGCCACAAAATAGCGCGACTTACTATCATTTGGTAAGCAGCATCCACATCTTGTGACGCTCACGTGTGACTTAGTAAATTGCACAACCGTGTTTGGTGAAGTACGAGACCGATTTAGTAAGTCACGTTTGCGCCGTTGGTAAAGCCGAGAACAACTCAAGTCCCACTTGCGTCTCAAATGTGCCTTTATCATGCAAGCGCAGCTTTCTACATGACGCATGTCGCACGCGGGTTACACAAGGAGCAACTGCAACAGCTCACAAAAGCGAATTTGGTAAAGCATTAGGTGCAACTTACCAATTTAGATGCGCGAAGCACACAAAGGATATACGCTTAGCAGTTACTTATTGAGAAGCAGGTAGGACTAAGTCATGCGCGTGACACCTCCCCCACCCTCTTCCAAAAATACCGTTCATGTTGTGTGCTGAGATTAATCCTCTTTTCCTCGTCTACTCTCACCCAAACGCTTGCAGTTGGCCTGTCAATCAAACAGCACAGGTCAGATGCCTAAAATGGCACCTGGCATTCACTTAGTTAAACAGAACATTTTGAGCCCATGCTGACCAAACAGGCCGACACTTCCTGTGACACGATCCCGTTACATCTCGCAGTTGAGCCCGCGTGGAGCTGACGACGCCACACGACACGACGCGAGCCTAATGCCGCGGAACGAAGCATCCGACAAAGAGTGAACGAAGCATCCGACAAAGAGCGAATGAGCAGTGAGCGTCTCACACTGTTACAACTTGCGTACGGTGACGTGACAGTGTGGAACAAGGAAGGCCACTCCCAACATGCAAAAAAACGAAGGCGCTGCCGTAGCGCTTCAACGGCTAGGAGTGTCTCTTGTATCGAGTGTTGCAAAATGGTGGGAATTTTTAAAAACGCTAACTTTCCATGGAAATTTATGGGGAATAAAATGGGAATGAACCATGGATGGAGAAAACTGAAGGTTGGCTCTCAACAGGAAACTTTAAATACAGTTGGCTGAAATATATTTGGGCATAATCCTGACTAAAACTATCACATTTCTGCTTACAGATTTTAGTTGAGTTATTTTTTCCAGTTATGCTTGGTCAATTTCTTTACATTTTGTTCCGAGCCAAAATCCAGATCACAAGCGAAAAAGGAAAGCCATCTATTTTGCATGGATGTCTGTTTATGACAAAACTAAACGCTTCAAGGTTGAAATGTTTAAGTGACCCTCAATTCCCAAAGAATTCCAATGGAAAGTTTCCAACTTGGACTATTTTCAAAATCCCCATCCACGCATTTACAACCGTATCAGTGCCACAAACAAACCCAAAAAGAGACAACTCAAAGTGATTATTAAAAAGAACAAAAAAAGGGCTGGGGGGGGGGGGCAAATAAATACTTAAAACATGAGACGGTGCTTCACATGCACAGTAAAGTGCTTTTTGTCTGCAAGCCCTGATCCAGAACAGAAGGCGTCCTCTCTTTGCTCGTGTTGAACGTGTGGAGAGAAGAACAACAACAGAGTAGCCCTGACATGGTTGCTGTTTTTTTTTCTTCTTTTAAACGCATCAATGGAGTAGAGCGTAAGGGGGGGGGGGTGGAAAGATTGGGCCCTACA